AGCTCCGAGAGAGACCCTGTTTGCCTCCTCTGAACTCTAATCTCTACTGTCCCTGTCAGTCTCTGCAACACGCTGTACATATGTTGAAGGAGCTGCCAGATTTACTCATCATCACAGAGAATGTTTGAATAAAATCTCATCCCACTCGCCCCCTCCATCTCAGGCTCCCTGCTCCGGTCTCCTCTGCTGTGTTCCGCATATTTTTCATCTTCTCTCCAAGCCTCCACTCCTCCGAGTCATCCTACATGCGTCCATTTCTCTCGAGTCTCATTTTGTATCTTTCTCGCTTTACCCCCTCAACCTGATGCAGGCGTGCACAGCCTCGTTGCACCGAGTCGATGGATGGATCTGTGTGTTGTCTAGGAGAGAACAGGCTGGAATGCGTCCTTCAGGCTACTTGAGAAATCAGTAACACACTAAGGTCCCCACTGAGTGTGTTACTGATGTGTGTAACTCTCAGAGTGTGAGCAGCACTGACGCAGATTGTATGCTGATTTGATGGATCGAAAGCCTTGGATTTGGACGTTTCTTTTCACAGGTATTCAGCAGCTGATAAGAAACCTTGTCACTTGTAACATAAGCAGCTATTTGCATCATGTTTCAAGTCTACCTGTGGTTGCTGTGCTAGAAAAAAAAATCCCTGTCATCATTGAGAGTTGCTACCTTTTGCAGATATGTCTGTCACTGTTTGCTTAAAGACACGTGCTGCTTGTGGAGGCTTAATAAAAGGACTTAGTGGGGTCACATCAAAGCTTCAAGGTGTTAGATTCTGAGCGTTGTGTAATCTCTCAGTGAATGAGAGATTTTCAAAGACATATAAATCTTTACATAAGCATGTTGTTGGTAAGTTCCTCAAGACTGGAAATGTTGAAATAAGCAGCCATACTATTTTGAATCTGAGAGTTTACAAGAAGTAATATTCTACTTCCACGTCTTCTTCATAGCTGAAACATGCCACAAACTTTTGATAGAACCACGGACAGTATATTCGAGGTGATCATCTCTGATGCCACCTTTTGCCAATTTCTAGACTCCAGGTTAGCATTATTTCAACCACCATCTTGTTTTTCATTTTAATAGCCAGATGTGACCACAATTGGACAACAAACTGGAAAAGGAGAGGAGCAAGGGACTGGTCAATACTACTGATTCAGAGATGTCGAGTATATTCCTAAAGCTCATTCATTAGCCTGCTAATCACAGAGTCAGTGGTTGTGTTTGACATGTAATGAGATACTATAATGGTTTTAGCTGATCAGAGCAGATCAGAGCTGTTAAGAGCGAACAGATCTAAGATAGTTTATTGCAGGGGTGCCCAACCTTTTTTGAACCAAGATCTACTTTTAAAGTTGCCAGTCTGCCGAGATCTACCAGTCCACATAGTGAGCCATAGCCTTTACCGACAGCCTACAAACGCATTTAATACTCACACAACAAACAGAAAATAATAAATGAGAGTTCTGTAAAAAATAATGCAATATCGACATACTTTTTTTTAAGCTCTTATTTTAGGGTAGGCTACATTTTAGTATTACGTTTGTATTTATATCACATATGTTTTTCCCTTAATTTAGTTTACAACAAACAACTTTAATCTGTGTGGAGATGTTCACAGACTACAGCAGGCTGCTGTGACATGATGTTGCTTTTGTTAAATTAGCTGCAGACACGGTGAGAGTGAACGGAGTAAAGTCCAACCGACTGTTTGACCGGGTCATGTGTGTTCCGGCCTCGGTCCGTAAAGATCACGGATCAACTGTGTGCTGTAGCACTAAAAGTAAAAAGTAAAAAGGTTCGCGTGGTGGCTGGCGCTCCAGTGCAAGTGTGTGTGTGTGTGTGTGTGTGTGTGTGTGTGCGTGTGCGTGTGCGTGTGCGTGTGTGTGTGCGTTTGCGTTTGCGTTTGCGCTGTTTGTTGGTGTGTCTCGTGCCCCGTGATGCTCACAGTCATGACAGCAGAGAGGAGCAGAGAAAAGTAGCTGCAGCTTCATCAAATGCGCTTAATACTCGTAGCATAGTTTCTATTTATGACTTTTTGGTGAAACATTTACCCCCCCGGTTTTACCTGCACGTCCTTGCGCATGCCTGCACTCTCTCTCTCTCGCTCCCCCGCTCGCTCTCTCGCTCTCTCATGCACGCAGCAATTTCATGAATAAATGAAAAATTAAATACAAACAGGTCGGAAGTATTCTTGGGCTCCCCACACAGGTATCGTGTGTGGGAAACACTGCAATGAGATGAAATTGAAATCACTTTTCTATTTTACAATTGTATTTTATATTGACTAAACATCTTGCGATCGACTGAGAATCAGTCTGTTTGGGCACCCCTGGTTTATTGAATGTTCCTGCTTGCTAGCACACATTGCTAATACAGCAAGTGACACATTCATTACATTTAAAGTCTTTATATGCACATTTTTGATCCAGCAGATGTCGCCCTTGAGCACCAGCATGAAACCATAACAACTTGCGCTGCATTGTTAGCATGCTAATGCTAGTGGTCTTTATTATGCTCATATCTTCACACTGCATGTAAATTTACCCGATCTAGAAAAGCTTACATGACATCCAATTAAGCAGTGAGTACAGTATGTTATTCTTCTTTTCTCGAGTCCCTCAATTAAACAACTTTTATACGCGAGGGGAGGAGTCAGCCGGCCGTCCGGGCGATGTAAACAAACTGAAGATAGGACTCTGAAAACTCTGAAAGCATCACAGACAGTGGGACTCGGGTGTTACACCCATTGTAGACAGTCATGACTCACAGAGTTATTTTCAGAGGATATACATGATTTCTATTTCATTTAAGTGTGAAAAATCACATATTAAGCCTTTAAACTAACTGGTCTCCTTATCACCAAAGGCAGACGTCACCTCTGCAATGGAAAATCCAACACCATTTTGACCCCATTCACAAGTTGCCAGGGAAAGATCAACAAAAACAAAATGGCAGTTCTGCTGAGACCAGACACAGATACCCACTAATGTTGACATATAGGGCTTTCACACTTGCAGAAAACTCTTGAAAAGCCACCTTTTTCACTTGCACTTTACCCGGAGTTTCTCCTGCCAGACACCTGAGTATTTTTTTTTTGCAGAAAGTCTGAAGGAGCTGATGTGAGAACACAGCAGGATATTATCTGGAGAATCCACCTCCAGCGAGTGGGAACATAGGGGTGCTACGTTTATATCCTGTGACTGATGTACGGTGCATAGACTGTATGCACGAGACCGCTGCAATCCCTGTGCAACTGCACTGACAAACAGCGTATTGACATAGCCAGCTTGGTGTCTAAACTGCAGCCCATGGTTTCACGAAGCTCTCACCAACGTGTGAAAGCCTGCCTAATAATTACTCTAGTCCGGCTTCTTGGTCCGTCTCGTAGCTTTAGCCATTTTATCAAACAGTTACAGAGTCGGGTTAACTGACTTTAGCTAAAGGCTGGTGTATGAACTACACCACAGCTTTATGGTGTAAGAACTGTCAAGCTATAAGCACTTTTCACAAGTTATATAGTGCTGAAAACAGACAACTGTGCCCATTTTCCCTGTTGACAGATATTGTGCTCTAAGATCAACTTTAAAACTGCTATATTAAGGTGGAAATGTTACATGCTGTTGCTTTAAATCAACATGATTATACATGTGTTTTAATGTATGTAATTATTTACCAGTGTTTAAAGCATAATACATGAACTTTCCCTCGGCTGTTTTCTATCTAAAATGGTGAAACAACAGAGGGTTGGATTAGCTCGTCTACTGTATGTCGGTTGGGTATTACTGGATTTACCTTTAAGTGCACATGGTTCAAACTCTCCCTCCATCTGTCTGGAGTCAGATCCCTTACCTCCCCCCCTCAGCTTATGGACGACCATTACCAAAGCAGAACAATGCACTGTCTTGTCGACCATTTTGAGCTTGACAGTGCAGGAGGATTTGATTCTGGGAGTCAATAAATGCAATTATATTTTTATTCTGGAGGGTCACAATAAACTCAGGCAAGCTCACACAGACACAGCTTCATCATGGCAGTAATTACCCTGTTAAGATGAGAGTTGCTACATAAATGATCCTTCACCAATTAGTTTTTAATCTCTGATGATATGCACATGTATAGCTATTTCTGGAGTGAGGTACATTTACAATCACAGCTCCATCACCTCTATCAGTTTACTGTGGGATTCAACAGGGCTATTCAGTGTTGGACTCATGGCTTTGCATCAGAAAGTGTTCAGCGTCTTTAAGCCACTATCCCCTTCCCATGCCTCAGATGGTGCCATAATTCCAAAGGCTGGACACTGCCAGGTAATTGGTCCCTTTACATGGATGTAGGCAGTGCAGTGATGAATAACACAGAGCGACAGTGTGACCAAACTGCAGCTCAGTGCTGTCGACACCACCCACATCAGATGCAGTAATCACTTTAGTGACAGTCGCTTGATGTTTTGGGCTGGTTTTCAAAGAAAAAAAAAAAAAAGATAAATCATCTTCTGTGAGAGTATTTATGCAGCATTAATCTGTGGGCTCACACGCTACATATTAAAACATTGTGAGCCATATTGGTGTGAAATTGCAGGTGCCTGTGTGTCATCGACAGACTTGACAGTGATATCTCTCTGCATATGTAAGAACCTGCCAGCAATTTCCATTACACACACACACACACACACCCTTACCCTGCCACTCCACTTTACTACATCTACAATTACCTTGAATCTTCTTCTTTTTTCATTTATTTGTGTGTAATGCTTTAATTCATCTCTGACCTCTCATTTCTCCTGACAGCAAAGATGAAATTTCTGAACATGTATAGTCAAAGCCGGCACAGTGATGAGCTTATTAAAGACGCGGGGAGTGGAGAGGAGGAGCTCTGGCTACGGCTGCAGCTGCTGCATTGGCTGCTATGCACAGGGGAGGGGTTGAGAGAGAGAGAGAGACTGAGAGAGAGAAAGAGAGAGAGTTGGGGGAGGAGGGCACTGCTCTTGTTGGAAATAGGGAATGCCCGTTAGTTGCGTCTGCCGATAATAGCACATCAGCCAGAGCGCTGCTATTGGGAGAGCAGAGCGCAGGCAGTGCGGAGGACTGAGCGGCTCAGCACAGAATGGAACACTAGAGAAGACAGGCACACTCAGAAAGAGATAGAGCAAGAAAGGAAAGAGAGCATCGGAGCACGTTGAGAAGAGGAGGACAGAGAAGGAGCGGAGAGCACTGCAAAGAGGAGAGGAGAGGAGAGGAAGGAGAGGAGAGGCAGGGAGAAAAGTTACCAGGTCAGCAAGTGATCGTGGAAGTGGAGCAGCTGAGACTCACTGGGGTCTCTTTCCTCCTGGAACAGCCTGGCACAGCAATAAGCAGCACAGGAGGAGAGTGATATTACAAGAGGGGGATAGAAGGAGTGCTGTAACTTCTTCCCGGAAAGACAGTTCTGTCTGCAGGCGTGGGTAATGCTCCTCACAGGACCCTTGAGCACAGCTACTTCAGGACTATCACAGCAAGACAGCAGCAGTGAGCAGGAGACTCTTCAGCCTGGCAGAGGTGCCTGGACAGTGCAGCTCTGTTCAACTCTATACTGAAGACTCACATACTCAACTGTGTGCTTTCAGGTGGATGTAGTTGTGTTCCTGTGAGGTTTTTTTATTTTCTTTTTTGATCCAGGGTGTGAATCAGGGGACATTTGGAGCGTGATCTGTTCTGTCCTGTCATCTCTGAGACTATGGTAGACTGTGCATCAGGGAGCCCTTCATCAGCAGCTGCAGCCCTAGAGCATGGAGAAGTCCAGTAGTGAGGAGTCAGCCATTCACCGTAGCCCGTCTGTAGATAGCCACGACTCCGATTTTGCTCAAGCCTCTACGTCTGGCCGTCCGATTGGCGGCCGCGGCTTCACTGCCGGCGCATTCTACGGCTCCACGGGGCCGCGCAAAAGCGCACAGCAGGCACAGGCTGGAGCAGCAGCCGACGCCGGCGCAGGAGACAAGACCAACAACAAGTACAGCTCACCCAAAGGCAGCAAATACGTGGTCTTTTACCTGGATCTATCCTTTGTGTTCCTTTTAGAATTCAAGAAGTGCAACATGGCAAGAGGCTGCCTCTGCTGCTTGAAGTATTTGATGTTCACCTTCAATCTCATCTTCTGGGTAAGTGCCTCTCTATGTTGTGTTGCTGCTGTCATCTGTGTTCACTTTAATGGAGATGATATTTACCATACAAATGTGCGGATATGTGTTTATAATGAAATGCTTTTCAGAGCGAATCTTCCTGCAGTAACTCAGCACTTGTCATTATCCATTTATGTGTGAACAAATGCAAGGGCTCAGTGTGTGTTAAGTTTATTTAAATGTTAATCAGGAGGCATTATTTCAAAGTGAAGGCTGTCAGTGCAATCATGCATTTCTAATTATTACGTCAGGCTGTTTACGCCTGTTCCTGCACCACGTTCCTCCTGGTGCATGTTGCTATTCCTGGATGTCATGACACAGTCAGTGGCTGTCTCCTTTTGTATTTGACTGGGTTGGGGTGGGGGTGTGTGTGTGTGGGGGGGGGTAGAGATGAGTTGGGTTCAGAAGGGTCACACATTTGGACACTCTGTGATTTACAGTGAACATGAAGTTGTAATTCAGCTTGTGGCATGCGAGTGAAAGAGTATATGCCTCTACAGTCCAGTTACATTCACGAGCAACACAATACGCACCAAGGGGATACGAGCAGGGGGCGGTCAGCAGGAGTTTCCGGTGATTCTGCCGGAGATGATCTGATTTGTGTGTCTCGTTCTATCCTTCATTCTTTTAATGAGATATATTTACTCTGGGGGTGAAGCTCAGATCAATATCTGGTGAAATTAAAGTTCTGAATTGCTGCACCTGGACATTTGGCTTGAACTCTGTAATATCTGCAGTAATTACTGTGATAATAGGTACAAATAATAATGTAATGCTCTCAATGGCTATTTACTCACAAATAGACCTGGGCAGTGTGTGGCACGCCGGTGTGTACCCATGCATGGGCATTTGTTGTAAAAGTGGGCATCCCTTGATTGTTGACAGAATGGATTAGAGAGCTTATGGGTTATTGGGCCAAGTCTTTTGTGTGGATGCAGCGAGGCGTAAAGCGTAAAAACACCCCAACACTGGGGGACTCTATACCAACCCCAGCCCGCCATGTCACTGGGATGTGAGCCCTGCTAACTAGGGCACACTGGAGGCGACGGAGTGGGCATTATCTTGAGCCCAGCTGTGAGCAGGACAGCATTAAAAACACACACGTACACACATGCACCACACGAGCGGGAGATCCATCACATTGTCCGCTCCATATACAGAAACATGCAGCAGTGCTAGAGGCCGAGCTCAGGCCTGAAGCTGTGGACGTGTCTGCTGCTCCATACCATTCCCCAGTCCACAGAGGCGAGGGCGTAAGCAATCAGCAACGACGTATAAATGGCTGGAGGGCTGCTCAGCGTACCCCGTCTTCAATTAAATGTTTGTTTAAGGGAATGTAAGGGTCAGGAAAGCTTAGCTGTCGTTGGATACATTTAATGCAGACATTGACTAAACTTGATGAGAGCACTTCCTTTGAACTCAATCAGTGTGTCTGAAGTGCAGGATGAGGCCAAGGCATTTGACTTCTATTAGAATTAGAAAAGGACATTTTAAGCAATTACCTTAGAATCAATCGATGACCAGCTACTTGACAGATTAGCCGCTAGAACGAAATGCACTACAAAAGTTCTCTTCAGCTCAACTTCCGACAGATTCAAACGGCTATTTCTGTTTAAAATCCAAAATATTTAAAGGCTATTCAGGAGGACACATTTGTTGTGGCTAAACATGCACGCATCTACAAAAAGGGCCGTAACCTACAAATGCTTATCAAAATGTGCCGCCCTTTACATGCAGAGCTGCCGGGGACAGGTGCTCATTAGCCCAGCGGAAGTCGGGACCTCCAACACACTGTCAATGTAAGCAACACCTGTTCCCCCTACTGTTCTGTCAAACAGAAAACAACACATGCTTTTCTGTCACCAGCTCGGTTCACAGTTGTTTAAAAAAAAAAAAAAATCCAGCACCTACCCAGAAAGAAAATGTCCCCTCGAACTGTTTGAGCTATAGCAAACTAATCTGGATACAACTTTCTAGATTAATATGCTCTCGCTAGATCAAGTTCATAATCATGATTTGATTATAAATTGATGAATGACGACAGCAAGTCATTATTCTTACTTTGAGCTGTGAGCTGAAAATGATCCATTAAGGGCCTTTCAAGACTCTACATTAACGGAGTGACACCATCAGTTTACCTGTATGTCAGTTAGAGCAAGCCTGCTCAGTTCATTCAATAGAAGCTGCCTCAGGGCACAGGTAAAGGTCAACCTCTAGCAGAGGTCACAAGGTCATTGTTATCCGTTATCGTCTTGAGGGGGAGTCAGGGGGGATTTGTGTGAAGGTGTTTACTTCCAAAGGTTCTTTTCAGGCTCAATTTGTGCTTAACCCTTTTTTTCTGTGGCAAAACCTCACCACTAATAAGCTGCTGCTGACCAACACTAATAGGAAGGTGGGAAAAGAGGCTTTGGATTTCAAGCCTGGTGTCCTCTCGCTCTTGTGAAGCCTATAGCCTGTTGGCCAGTGTGGAAATGGATTTCAGCCACGTTCAGATGCTCTCCTTGTAGTCTGAGATTTGAGGACTCTTTCTGTCATTGTTGTGTGTGTGCAAGTGGGCGTATAGGGGTCTTAAGTGGCCACGGCCTTTTTCCCCACTGAAGTGCATCCCCTGCTGTGCGATAATTGAACTTTTACTCTGATAATGTTCACTTAATGAACACCCGCCACGCATTTCTCCCTCTCTTCCCTCAGATTGATGCTTGTTTTCCTCTCCCCAGTAGATCCTTTTAATGGCGGTTTAATCAGCATCCCATGGGAATAGAGTGGCGGATGAGGGGGTTAGGATGCAATGCATGTGGCGGCCAGATCTGTCCATCAGCATGTGACAGCTTCAGGCTCATTGGCAGCTGGCTGACTGGCACTCAGGATTGCGGCGCAGCCGCAGTGTGCCCAGTTGAAGGTTAGGGGATCTGGGAATAAAGGGTTCGCTCATCAGTGAGGGGGTCTGGACAGGGTGCCTGAGCCCTCTGGGACGCATGTGGAGGGAGGGTGACAGGCATGTTGTATCCTGACACCCCTGGGACTGTGCTGCTCTACCTCTGACACTCCAGGAATCACAAGGTTAGCACAGCTGGTGGGGAGGTTTTGCTTCTGAAGCATCTCATCTCAGGGCTGAGAAGGGGGACTGGTGAGCTGCAGTAACCCGGCACCAGGTACAGCAGGGGTCTCTTCTTTCGGACTGTGCACACATGCACGAGCACACTCGCTGTCCAATACACAGACTGACGGCCATCCTTAGAGAGAATGCGCACCACCCACACATCATTTGCTCCACGGGGCTTTACAGTGGTAACTTGAAACACAAGGTAAACAGCAGCAGGCACTCCAAGCATCTCAATACATGCGCTCATCCTCAGGCCCCCCCCAGCAGTTGTTCATGACCATCTGGCTCCTCTTTCTTATAAGGGATTAGATGATTTGAGCTGGAGGGGGATCTTCAGGCAGATTAGATCACTATTGGGTTTGCGCTGTCAAGATTGAGAGTGGAGCTCCTTCGAACAGCTCTGTGCTGAAGCCAACAGTCATCTAAATGCTGCGACAATCTGCGGTCCAGTTAGGAAGGGGAATCAGTTTCCTCCTACACACATACATACAAACAGATACACACACACACACACACACACACACACACACACACACACGGGCACACACAATGACCCGCTTGATAGGGTGATTGATGTTAAGCCTTATTGGTGTCAGCCTTGTGAGCATATCAGTGTTAGCGTTCTTGCTCCGAGCGAGGATTTCTGCCTCTTACTCTGCGGTGTGTCCTCGCAGCCACGTCTGTTAATCTCCTCCATTCAACATTCAATTTATTGTACTCTGCTGCTCTTATTTATCTTGTCCAGTGTTACTAAAAAAAAAGAGGCACAATAATGCTAAAATACAGGCCATGTCCCATGCACAAACTAATTCCCTTTGAGATATTGAACATTGGGCACATCTGAGCTCTGCCATTATCTCGCCTTATCAAAAGCCAAAGGCTCATTTGATATTCTTGTTTAAAAGAAAAGTGCCAGCTCAGCAGTCTTGTCCTACAAGTATAAGAGGGGTGGTAGTATCAAAGCAGCGTCTTTGTTAGAGAAGGGGAAAACAAATGTGTTTAAAATTCATGAATTCCGCTGCTTACTTGGGGGATTGCCGCAGGATTTATAAACCACTTGGTCCGAGGTAACAGAAGATTAGTTTCCCTATTGATTTAATCACTGAATTTGACATTTAAGGTTTCAATTCTCCTCTGATGCTACAGAGAGTAAAGAGCTATTGACAGACTCAAGGTGGATTGGGAATGTCTGCGTCTGGTTCAGAGGAATTCCATAAAGCCTTTCATACGAGCTGTCCCTTTCCCCTGGGATCCCGATCGGAGGTTGCTGAAGCACTTTGCCTGTTTTTTATTTCCTGTATCGGCACATGAAAAGTGCAGTCGTGTTTTTTACAGCTCAAAGAGAGGAAAGAATTGTAACCAACTTTGCTTTTTTTTTTTCTTCTTCTCCTCCCTTTTCACAAGAGGCACAGCTGAACTCCATTAGTCACTGCCAGGTGAAACAAGGATTGGGGCACGGGGAAAATAGATGAGGGCTGAGCGCGCTCTGCGAGATGATGAAACGAGCTGTATGTGCTGCGCTGTCACATATGTTTTAATTCTATCAATCTACCGTGAAAGGCTGGATCTTAAATTGGCTTTGAGATTGAAATGCCAGGATGCAGCATCAACCACAGACGGCGTGTCCAACTTCATTTTCTGCCTCTAGCTTTGAAACGTTCAGCCATCAGCGGATTCAATCACTGGTCAACACAACCACTTTCAGATTACGCGTCTTCTGAATCATCCGATTTAAGCAGAGTAGCCAAACTGCTGCTCTGTACATTTTGAACATATTTATATCCTTTGTTTTTTCATTTGAAGTCTTGTAATTAGCGTCCCCTAAAGACCGCTGGGCCTCGATTCAAATCGGCTAACGCTCCGTGGTAAATACCTC